GCGGCGCAGGAAGGCCCAGAAGGTCTTGCGAGTGTTTGGGGCGCCGCAGTCCATACAGCCATGCCCATGGCGCAAGTGGGCGAACTGGAACTCGGTGAGACCTGGAGGTGGGTCCGGCATGTCGGTTCCGTAATAGTAAACCCTGCTATGCTTCCAGAGCATGGGGTTATCCCGCAAAAACCGGTAGCATGAGGCAATCTTGCTACGCATCTCGAGCAGCTGCGCAGGGTCCGAGTAGGACAGTATGATGAACCAGCAGTCCAGGTCGACACCTTTGGACAGGATCTTGCCCCTCCGTAACCTCGTCGGCTTGCGCTGCTGCCACTGCTGGTTAAGCAGTGGACGGGCCGGTGCCGCAGTGAGTGGAGTCGCATCGTTTCCGAAAGAGGCGCCCGGGTTGGCCGCGTGCTCAGAGTCCTTCCTGGACTCATCGCCCCGCTTGCGCTTCAGACTGCCTTCGACCATGGCCAGCGGCACATTGTGGGATCGCACCTCGTGCGCCAGCCCCGCGCGCTTCCCGCCTGGCCGCCGGCAGTTGATTACGGTGGCATAGGCCTGGTCTGGCGTCTGCAAGAAGGGAGTCTGCTTGTTGACGGTAAAGGCGACATATTTGGCATTCACCATCTCGGGTCAGCAGGCCAGCCGCTCGGGGTATCGTCGACGGGTAACGGGTCGCTCGCAGTCACACTTCCACGTCGTGGGTCGGGCCTGGCATGCGGTGCTGGGAGGATGGCGAGATTGAGAGTGCAGGGTCGAGAGGCTGAAGGAGAGGAGGCACAGGGAAAGGAGTGTGGACGACGCTGAGACTTCCGCGCGCCCAGGCTTGAGTTGATGTCGGCTGCCGAACCAGCTTGCCCGACCAAACCAAAACTACAAGGTTGGCCCTTCGGATATAAAACCTGGCCTTTGCTCAGCGACCGCCGACACGCCCTTCACCACCATGTCGACAGTCCCCAGTTGACATCAGCCCAGACTGTCCTGGCAACAACTACGTCTGCAGGTGGAGTTCTGCAACTGTTCCGACAATGCCATGCGGAAAGATGCGCGCTTGCTATTCCGCATCAATACGTGCCGACGCATCTTTTCCCTTTAGGCCCGGCGCCACACTGCTGATCACATGGTTACATCACACGCGAGGCGCACGCTTACGGTCCTTTTCCAGCAGGTTTGAGCCGGCCAATGTCGCCTGTCTTTTTGCTTGTTCCAAAGCCGAGCGGTCGACAATTAGTTGCACGCCGTGTTTGCGCCATGTCCTTGGGTACCCGTGACTTCGCGCTGGCGACCGGCAGCGCAGCTTCCTAATGAGGACCTCCATCGCTTACGCATGCATGGGCAAACAGCCAAAGCCAGAGATGCGGGGTTGGCGAGCGTCGACGATGCGAGAGTGGTCAGATTTGTGCTAGGGTACCAGCGACCTCGGCCTTCGCTGTGACTCCATTTCACTGTCCGCTTTCCAGGATATATTGCCTTCGCTCCCGCCTCTGCAAGTGCCATGCAAGTGTGAATTTGGCATCGGACCTACTCCCGAACACTAGGCAACTACCCAGGCGGATAGAGTCAAGCTCACCAACCGTCGTCATGTTCGGAAGGAAAGAGAGTAAGTCGCCGCATTCTGCTAAGCTGGCCCCGATGACTCCCGCGGAGTGCTTGACGCATCTTGTCAGCTGCAAGCTCATCGTCAGCTTCATGTCGCACGGATCATAATTGCATCACCCTACGCTCTTTGCCATATATACAGAGTCGTTAAATATGCTGATCATCCGCAGAAGACGTGCCGTCTCCAGACATGGACAAGACAGATCCAATCCCTCACTATGACAATACCTACGACGACGACCCGGCGCTTGTCCCATGCCCGCCCAACACCACGGAGTCTAAACTCGTGACCAAGATCGACCTCCATGTCATTCCCTTTCTCTGCATCATGTATCTCCTGGCCTTCCTGGACCGTGTCAACATTGCAAACGCGAACGTCTTTGGCCTCAGCGAGGAGCTTGATCTGGCACGAGATAATCGCTACAACACTGCTCTGGTCATCTTCTTCGTACCCTATATCCTCTTCGAGATCCCGTCCAATGTCCTCCTCAAAAAAATGAAACCTCGCGTCTGGCTCAGTATCTGCATGTTTGGTTTCGGTCTCGTTACCATGCTGCAAGGCTTTGTGCAAAACTACTCTGGTCTCCTTGCGACTCGATTCTTCCTTGGTGTGTTCGAGACAGGCATGTTCCCGGGTGCCTTCTACTTGATTGGTATGTGGTACCGCAGACACGAGGCGCAGAAGCGGTATTCGTTCTTCTTCAGTTCAACGACTCTGGCCGGAGCCTTTGGTGGACTGCTAGCTTCTGCGATTGGCAAGATGGACGGCATGCGCGGATATCAGGGGTGGAGGTAAGTTTTGACGGCGAAAGTCGTCGACAGTCACTTACTCTGGCAGATGGATTTTCATTCTGGAAGGACTCTTGACTGTTCTGGTTTCCTTCGCTTTCTTCTTTCTGCTGCCAAACTTCCCGGAAGAAGTGAAGTGGCTCTCGGAACCCGAACGCGCGTTTGTCAAAGCCAGACTTCAAATCGACCAAGGACGCTCCGCACGTGAACGACCTATCAAGGCCAAGGACGTTGTGAATGTGTTCAAGGACCCCAAAATCCTCATTGGCGGGCTCATGTACTTCGGCTTGATCGTACCTGCCTATGGATACGCCTACTTCTCTCCCACCATCATCCAAAGCTATGGCTACTCGAAGATCCAGACACAACTGCACAGTGTTCCTCCATGGGCCGCCGCTTTTGGTTTCTCGATGTTTGTCGCATGGTTCTCGGACAGGCTCAAACACCGCTTCCTTTTCACCATATTCCCCATTGCTGTCTGCATCGCTGGATTCGCTATTCTGATTACCGTACACGACAACCATGACCTGCAGTATGGAGCGCTCTTCCTTGTTGCCATGGGAGCCTACACCGCCATGCCGGTTATTGTATGTTGGTTCAACATGAACTTGGGTGGTCACCACCGTCGAGCTGTAGGAAGTGCATGGCAAGTCGGCTTTGGTAAGTTAAAGAACTCTCGTAAGTATCTGAGATATCGAATGCTAATCCAACACAACAGGTAACATTGGTGGTATTATCGCCGTCTACTCTTTCCTGAAGACGGACGCGCCCAAGTATACGCGGGGATACTCAATCAGTATCGGCTTCGTGTGCCTCAGTGCACTAAGTTGCTGCGCGTACTTTGTCATGTGCAGTCTCTCGAACCGAAAGAGGAATAAGAGCGTCAGGGATGTAGGGTTGACGGAGTATGAAAAGACCGAAATGGGTGATTTGAATCCGGAGTACCGCTATCTCTTGTAGATGGTGTGTGTAGACGTAATGGATAAAGAGTACGAAACAGAGGCGGTAAAGCGTTGATCTCACACATAAAGATTACGCAAAAGAAGGCGCGCAGTATTGAGTCTGCTGATATAATTCTCTTCTTGACCATAGCATTGATCCTTGTGACACTAGTCCTGGCACACCACCTCTATTACACGGCGTAGGCTTCAAGATACTACCAGTTGCGCGTCTCATCGCCCGTGAAGAGTGTGTTTCCACGTCGCACTTTCATCGTTGTTGGCTGTGGCCTTGCACCACGCAATTTATATAGCGCCACTAAGCCAAAGGCCCGTCGATTGAGCATGTGGCTTCTGCCAGAGGTCTTCATAGGACGTGTATATCTTCTCGTTACGACGAGGGGTGCGAATGTGTACTCCGTCTTTCTGGCCGAAGAAAACAAGCTCAAGAGCCGGCCTGGATTCACGCTGCCCGTTTATGGGCATAGTGTTCTGGATAATTCCCGTTCAGGCTGCGCGTCGTCTCAAGTAACGCTCGCAGTGTCCATACTGTCTTCACTCCCGTGTCCCCAGATCTCTTTGCTCTCGCTCTCAACCCCTCGCATGGCCTTTGCGACCTCTTCTAGTCGTACAACGACTTCTTGCACCCCCTTGTTCACCTTCTCAAAATATCGGTCGTTCTCCTCTCTCCTCTTCCGACTCAACTCAATGTCCTTCTCTGTTTCCTCCTCGAGCTTGATACGGTCGAACAGCTTTTCGCCTTTTCCCGACCCTGCCCCGTCGTGAGGGTGGTTCGCAAGACTCTGGGGTTGCAAGTCGTTCGCTTTGCTGTCCTGCGACTTCTTCTGTTGTTCGGGTGTCTGTTCGTCCTCTTCCGAGCGCGCCCATGCTTTCGCAAGTTCTATCTGCGCTTTTCGCAGCTCATCTAGTGCTCGAGAGTGTTCGGAGCCGAAGACTGTCATGCCTGGGCCCTTGATGGCGCTCAGCTCAACCTCCTCCAAGGTGTTTTGCATCTCTGCCCATATCGCTTCTGCGCGCGACGATGCTTCGGCATCTGCGGCTTGGCTGTGCTGTCTTTGTCGCCTTTGGAACGGCGCCGAGGGGTTCGTGGAGGTGAGGCTGAGGTGGTCGCCATCGTTGGTGGTCGTGGGTGGAAGAGGTCGCTTGTTGTCCGGAGAAAGGAGTGAGCGCTGGCGGACTAGAGGCGCCCTTGCAGGCGTTCGGACTTCGTGCAGCGATGTGTTGGAAGCATTGTGTGACGGTGGCCCGACGAAGAGCGCAGGCGCAGGTAGGCGGTTAGTTTGCGTCTTGGTGACTTTCTTGTCGTCTTTGGAAGTCATGGTAGTGCATGCACTGGACGCGTTATGAGGGTGGATTAGGGCGACTAAGGATGTGTGGGTATTGCGATGGGCAATTGAGTTGGTCACTACGAATCTTGAAGTCTACTGACTTGAGCTGCAACTACGTGCTGGTGTTCATTGATGTTCTCCCCAGACGCGATGACGATGGCCCGATAAGATAAGATGGCCGTGCGGCGCTAACCCCTTCGGAGCCAACGCCGCTAAGCTGTGGGGCTTGGCTCTGGCGCACACTGATTCCAGCCGCTCTCGAAAATACTTCGACGTCCGCGATACTAACCACACTTCCCCCAGCACACCCGTCGTCAATACCGCAACCATGGGTAAAGGTACGCAGCCACTTCCTCCAGAAGCCCCCGATCGACGCGAAATGCACAATTCCACGCCTTCGCCGTCCTGACACGGGCGTATATTGGGTAGTTGCTCACAACATCATCAGGAAAGCCAAGAGGTCTCAACGCCGCCCGCAAGCTCCGCAACCATCGCCGCGAGGGACGATGGGCCGATCTCCACTACAAGAAGCGTCTCCTCGGAACCGCCTACAAGTCGTCTCCCTTCGGTGGATCTTCCCACGCCAAGGGCATCGTTCTCGAGAAGGTCGGTGTTGAGGCCAAGCAGCCCAACTCCGCTATCCGAAAGTGTGTCCGTGTACAATTGATCAAGAACGGAAAGAAGGTCACCGCTTTCGGTATGTCACTATGCGGAGATTGAAGAGGCATCGGCGACGAGCCTGTGGCAACAATGAGAGCGTGGGCTAATAATCTGCCAGTTCCCAACGACGGTTGCTTGAACTTCGTCGACGAGAACGACGAGGTCCTCCTTGCTGGTTTCGGTCGTAAGGGCAAGGCCAAGGGTGATATTCCCGGTGTGCGTTTCAAGGTCGTCAAGGTTTCTGGTGTTGGTCTGTCCGCACTGTGGAAGGAGAAGAAGGAGAAGCCCAGGTCATAGAGGACTCGTCTGCAAGGAGTCAAGGAAGGAAACGAACGTGGACCACAAGCCCGCCATGAACGAATGATGGAATCCGCGGATCACTATGGGGGGTTACCGGAGTCTTTACATCGGGGTTATCTGTGCTTCTACCCGGCATATGAAAAGTCATGATATGCTGGAGAGTTAGATAGAATCTGACTCGTTCAAGCGCCCACTCCGTAAGCGTATGCCATGGAGTGATGTTCGGTGCGTCGCCATGTCGTTTAGGACTCGGTAGTGAATGTGGTGCACCAAATATGTTTCAGGTTATATGATCCATGATTCATTGATCGAGAAATAACAGTACTGTACACAAACCGCCGTGTAGTAACAAACTCCGACCAATGCAACATAAGAAAGAAGCGCCGCCGGGTATCTCAAACAAAACGCCAACCACCTATGCAATCTTAGCAATCCATGCGTATGCAGTCCATCTTATTTCGTAAACATGGCATTAAACGTGTCCTCCAGTCCAGTGTCCTTCATAGTCCCGTAGTATTCGTACTTCAGCTTCGGGCTGGCGAAGAGCTCAGCATCCCTCTTGACGTTCTTCGGTACACCAAAGCCATCTAGACCCGGTATCTCTCCCGCACCTCCTTGCGCCTTCTGGTCTCCTTTGAAGAACTTGGGTGCGTTTTCCTTAAGGGGAGGCGCCCAGACACTCGGTTTCCAGGGGTTAGGTTTTTGGTTGGCGCCAAGCGAGGGTGGCGGCGGTGCAGGAACCCGGTGACGGAATGGATTCGGGTCTGGTTTGGAGAAGATGGAGTGGGGTTCTTTGAAACGAGGGGGTGTTGCTGGCTGACGAGATGTCGTCTTGGAGAAGTGGTTGGGTATAATCTCTGGGGGTTGTGAAGAGAACCGACTTCCGGAATTCTTGGTCGGTGTCCAGTCCATGTCGTCTGCGCCCAAGAATGTAGATCGCTGGGCATAGGGTGTGGTGACGTCGGTAGCATGTGTGGTGAAGGAGGCTTCTGAGATGGTGGGGGACGGGGGAAGAGGGGAGGACTCCTTGCACTGATCCATGCCATTTGCAAAATCGGGCGCTATACTGTCGAAAACGCTTGCTTGGGGATGAGCTGGGTGGTAAGAGCCTCTCCTTGCCTTCTGTGCGCTATCGGGTGCGCTGGGTACGGGTTCGCGAGCCGTTTTCAGAAAAGAGGGCGCGGCGCCGTAGACTATGCGAACAGCCTTCCATGTCATGATAGACGAGAAGGTCAATATTCCGAGCATACACATATGTGTGTACCGAAATAGCGTCAACGTGTCGTTGTTGATGGTGTGACCTTTCCAGTAGTAGAGGGTTAGGAAACGAAGAGCCACGGCAGTAATTCGAATCATCCATAGTGACATGAGCCCGCGCATCCTGCCCGTAAGGCTGTTCGTCTTGAGTTTCAGCTTGGGGTTCCACCAGATTGTGAGAGCATCGGCGATAATCGCAAATTTCAGCCACTTGAGTATCACAGGCGAAAGTACACAGATTTCGTCCATCCAACATCCCGACTTTGCCTGAGTCCAACAAGTATCCCAGCTGAAAACTTGGTACGCCCGTATACCCTCATCCGGGCCCATGTACAGTCCAGCAGCATGCCAGACAATTCCTATTGCTGTGCTCACGACGTAGGTCCACTTCGCCAGCGAAATGAACCTCAATGTCCATGCTTGTCTGTGGGTGTGTACAGTTGTGCGCTTCTGTTTACTCGCTTCCATGATACGCGCCAGGTTATCTGCTCTGGCAATATGGTTCGCATTCCGGATCTGATGTTGGACTCGAGGCAGACATTCGCTGCAGACCTGCGGGTACCGGGTCTCGAGCTCGTCCTTGTAGTCCTCGTACGCCGCTAAGAATTGCCCATACGTCGGATCATCCTCTTCCGGAAGGTACTCGCCCAAGAGCTTTGCGTAGAGGGTCTGGTTGCGCTGGCATGTGTCGCAGAAGATGTCGTCACCGGGTACGGACATGGCGGGCGTTGGGGAGCGGGAGCGCAGGTGTTGGAAGGAGGCTTGAGGGGCGGTCGCGACTTCTTCGATGGGCGGATCGGTGATGTTTCCGCGCTGGGGAACAGGTCAGTTGGAGAGGTTCGGGTGTTGATGCGGTAGAGTAAGTACTTCGTCGAAGTGATTCACGGCGTCGCATTGCGGACAGTGAAATGTCTTGGGTATCTGTGAGACAGTGTCGCGTGACAGTGTGTTGCAGTAATGGCAGCGCAGTCTGCGCCGTAATAGCGCCATGGTGGGAAGACACCTGGAGTGCGTGGTGATGGTTAGGGTTGATGCACCATGTCATGGGCGACGTGTTTTGGATTCTGCCGAGGCGGCCACACCGCCCGGGCGCCGGCGCGGAATTTTGGCTCACCAGGTCGAATGCACTGTTCACCACTTCTGGAGGGACGACTGCCGACAATCCATCGCCGTGGAAACAACACCGGCTCGAACCTCACAAGACAGCGTCTCCATCTCATCTCCCCGGTCGTATCCGCTACTACACCCCTCGCCGCCCGCCATTCGATGGCTCGGTAGTCCGCAAACCCTCGCATCTCCATCTCCACCGCCGCCATCCCGCCCACCATGAGCCAATTGATCGTCAGGCCGGGGCGCAACGCCGCCCGTCAGGCCAAAAAACTCAAAGAGATCCGCAAGGTCAAAAACGCAATCCAATGGCACGAGCGGGAACGCAAGAAGCGCCAGGGACTCAAACAGGACAAATGGGAAATCAAGCGAGCCATCCTTGCGCGTAAAGCGTGGGAACAAGAGCGCATCAAGGGTGTCAGGAAGCAAGCTCTGGCCAATGCGAAAGAGGACTGGAAGCTTGGTCCGTTGAGGCCAAATCGCGCCGTCGGCCCAGATGCTGAGAAATACGGTGTCCTCACCGGCGGCCAGGTGCAGAAGCCTGAGATACCTATCGAGGCCCAGAAGAGCCGGAACGCTTTCAGGGAAAAGAAAGGCCTCGAGCTCGAGTACCCGCTGGTCGTGGACGATAAGAAATACTTTCCAATTGTGAAGGGTGATCGTGTCGTAATTCTGAAAGGAAAAGAGGCGGGCAAGGTCGGTGTGGTGCGAGAGACCATAGATCGATCACACGACGTCGTTATTAAGGGCATGAACTTGGTATTTACCGCCTAGCTGTGTCATCAAGTTTGAGTGTTAACATTTGCCAGCAATACTTCGACACTAGTCTATTTAGTAGTGCTGCCGAAGAGATGGGGCCCAAGGTAGAGAACGAGGTGCCTATGCCCTTGAGCAATGTACGTCTCGTGGTACCAGCCGAGATAGACCAGGGAGGCCAGAAGCGTTACGAGGACGTCGTGGTCGAGAAGATCTACATGGAGCGGCATACCACCGGCATTGATCCATACACCGGTACTGACTACGGGAACGACACAATACCCGAAGCACACCAATACGATCCTCGAACTGGACTTCCCATCTTCCACCGATACATCGCAGGCACACGGCAACGACTGGAATGGCCATGGGAACGCGTAGAAGGAGATGGAGCTGTTGATACCACAAAAGAGACAGGCAAAGAGAAGAAAACATTACTCAAAAAGGCCCTGGCCAAGGTGAGCCAGCCGTTCACGAGCTTGAGTCGTTGGCGGAGCAAGAACAAGGAGGACCAAGCTCAACAAGACGCAACGAATAGCAGGAGCCCAGTCGACCTCGAGGCAAAATTCGCCGAGATTCAAAGGCAAGAGCAGGAACGATTCAAGACCGCCGCTCCAATAAGCATAGACCCTGAGCTTCCTTCGGCCTATGATGTGGACACAAGACGAAACATTGTCGAAGGTTCGCAGTCTATGGCTTATACGCTCGTTGCGCCACCTTTCCCCGACACGATTGCGGAAGAACTCCGTAGCGATATCCACGAGTTCTCCATCAAAGCGAAGAAAGACAAGGACCCCGAAGCACCGCGTCCTATCAAGGTTGCGCAACACTCCGAACAGGGTGTGGTCGCGCGAGAAATTGCAAAGCAAAAGCACAGAGCGGCGCAGGCAATGAAGACGCCCATGCAATTGAGGTGGGAGCTTGAGCATCAGAAGAAGGTGCAGAGTCAGAAGGAGAAGCCGCTTGTCGACCAGGAGAGCTTGCTGGCGGCATTGGGTCAGCACATGCAGAAGAGTGCTACGAAGCCGTATCTGGGCAAGAAGCAGATTCCCAGTCAAACAGCAGACCTCGACTAGGGTGACTGAGACGACGGCATGATAACGTATCACGTCTGTGACACGAGACTTGTAGCATACCTTTTGTATATATAGCATGGATTCAAGCCGAAAACTCAGCTAGGCTTTATGTGGCCTGTGGGGTATCTTCGCTGTAAATGTACATCAAACGCCTGCATCATGCATACCACGATCTATTGAACCTCTCCCTTGAAATCGTCCTTGAGCTCACACGAGAATGCCCCAGTATTCCGCTCGTCCTCCTGCACCCTCCAACTCCTCCCACTGCACCAGGAAGCGATCCACGACCTTTAGCAGCAGTTTCCCACTCAGACTCAGTGTCTTGACTCGTGCGAAACTCTCCACGTACACCGTCTTGCACTTTCCTCTACTATTTGCGCCATTGATGTTGAAGAAGCGCAGTATAAGGCTTGCGAGGATAAGGATTACAGCCGTAGCTGGGCCGTTGGTGATGATGAGATCTGGGAGGTCGGCGGCTGCGGCTTCGTTAGGTGTTGTAGGGGCTTGGCCGGCCAGGAGTGGTGGTGCGCGGAGGAGAGGTGTGAAGGAAGATAGGAGGGTGTAAAGCGATGTGAAAGGCGTCGTGAGGAGTGGTTGGTGTATCTTGCGCGCGCGAGGGATGACGGCGATGTTGTAGTGGTCTGGGCCAGTGCATATTGGCCTCTCTGCCCTCTTCTCTTCTAGCGCATGCGTTGTGCCGTCTGCATCTGTAATCTCCATCACAGGTCTTCTTCGCGTGCCGTCTGGTTGCACCACCTCTTTCTCCGATTCTTGCTTTCGCAGCCGCTCCTTCTCCCCATC